GCAGGGGTGTGGGGTTCTTTGAGGGGACCTGATGGAACATGCAATTCTTTTTCTCGTGGACCGTTTGGGGTCGGACTTCCTGTTGAACCTCCACACGGTCGAGCCTCCGCAGCTTCTTCTTCTTCTTCTTCCATCTTCTTGGAAAGCGGTATAGACTCACCTGGAGATGCTTTTTCTGACCTCAGAGCTCCAGCGGGAACGGGAGAAGTACCGACTTCCCTCACATCCTTGTTGGCGGTATCTTGGATGGATGAAGCTTCTGAAGAATCAGCTCCTCTTTCCAATGCAGGAGATACTTCCATCAGATCCACTCTTACTGACGAAGCATTTGGTCCCTGAGGCCCTTTTGGAGCCTCGGCGGACAACAGAAGGATCCCTTTCCGTTTTGTTTTCTTTGGCGGCCGTCCTCTTTTACGTCGTACTAACAAGTTAGTCGTAGATCCGCCTTCTCCTTCCAACGGGCCATCTTTTGGATCTTTACACACTTCATCTGGGTTCCCCGGCCCAGACTTTGCCAGCTCTTTCTCTGTACAGTGCAAATCTGCCTGTTGTTGCTCGTTCGGTTTGCTTTTCTCACTCATCGGTGCTGAACCAGTTCGGTCGGGTTCTTGTGGGACCGGTTCTGGTTTTTCAGACGGCGTGGGTTCTTCACACGCCTCCGTTGAGCTTTGATTACCGTCGTACTCTTCTTTAATGTCATCGCTGAGTGCGTCTTTGAGTGAAATAACTAACGAATGCCGTGGGTCAGAGGACTGGTCCCGGGTACCCTCTAGGCCTCCCGACCGTGGCAGATTAGGCGGAATCACTTGAGTCTCTACATCTCTTTGAGGGAAATTAACTTCTGCTGAACATTCTTGGACCATTGAGCCCTTATTCTCCGCTGGAATAACAGAATCCTCCTCTGTCCCTGGACACAACGGAGACACGAAATTAAACACGAGACATTTGGTTGAAAATGGCTGAGTAGAAGATTTTCTGAAGTGATATGATTACTCAAGAACTGTTCAGATTCCAGAGTAGTCTCACCTTCTTCTTGCTTCACGACATGCTCAACACAAGAATCACTGTATGAGTCCTAGGAGACAGTGAAAATGTTATTTATTTATGATGGTACTAAAAATGGAGCGAAATGTTTAATTTGTTTCCAAGAATTGCACAAACCTCCTGCTTGATCGCACAAAGAGACACCTCAGAGTTTCTGTCTCCATTACTGAAGTAGTTGTGCTCCTGCAGACTGTAGTCCACCCTCTCAAAGGCGTACTGCTCCTGGCCTCTCAGCGCAGAGAGACTCAGAGGGGTGCATTGCTCTACTAAGACTCTGCGGCAAGGGACAAGATCTGTAGAGATGAAGACACACCAGGAGAGGGCATACGGTCACATTTTCAGACAAAATCAGACATAACTTTCCGTTTTTCTTACCTGCTCTGAAGCAGTTTATCCAATTACAAGCATGCTGAAAACAGATGCTCACCAAAATATACCCCAAATTGAATCTACCATCGGATGTTGCCTCCTAAAAGTTAAAATTTTAGCTCCCACCAGCAGCCTGCAAACAACAGGCTCCCAAAATTAATGTTGCATTGCATGTATTTTTTCTGTAGGACAACCAGACGTTATCTACAGCAGTGGTCCCCACTATTATATTGCAAATATAATAATGAAGTATACTTGTATGGAAAAAATTTTTTTATTTGAAAATACTCCAGGAGCTTGTTTTTTAATCCCGGAGGCTTCGCGGCTCGCCACATATTACTTAGAGTGGCCTCAGTCTGCGGGAATAAATCCATATTTCAAGTAAAACTCATGCTAATTGCCTGTTAAAGGCTTTAATTTTCCTCCAAATTGTCGGTTCTTCCTCTGTCTCTTCATTGGGCCTTCTCCCCTTCGAAAAGAAAATATCCAAAAACATCTATTTTTTAATCATTTTGCTAACATGTGAGTTAAATTTAAAGTGACCGAAATGTAACCGAGAGAATCCGGTCATTTTTCAAAATAAAAGACTTTACAAAATAAAAGATTATTCAGACTTAGAAAATAAATACAAAAGAAAGAATTACTCATTACTCGGGCAGCCGGCGACCCGGACCCAGTTGATCCACGGACCGGTCCAATCACTAAAAAGATCCCCACCTCCAGACAACTAAAAAGCAACTAACATCAACTGAACCACAACAATGCTGCACATTTGTGTAAGACAGCTAAACAACTTAAGCAATAAGGTGACCCTTTGGGAACGTGAGGGCTTACTACTCTAATGTGCGGGTCAAAATCAAAGCCAGCTTTAGGAGATTTTAACTCTAAATGTAAAATTTGACGTACATATAAACGAAACTGCATACCATGTGTACTTTGTACTCTGATATAAATCGGCAGCCACCCATTTCCTGTTAGTTCACAAGACCTGGGTTTTTGCTAGTTTTTCCTGTCTGTACAGAATCTTTAGCATGAAACACACTTCCTATTTAACACGTCAAAGCTAGTTCAGGATATAGACACAGCATGCAGCAACCACTGACCAGAACACGACACCCCTCCACTTCATGATCCATCATTATTCACATTTTGTTTCCTGGTTCACGTTTAAGTTTCCAAAGAAGTCGAAGGAACACACCCCAACCATCAAAGCCACTGAAAATGCTGCATTTTTAAACTATTTATCGATTTCCAGAATTTTCCTGGTGACCAAATAAAAAAAATATTTAAGAAAATATGCTTTGATTAATCACAGCCTAACATTTATACGTCTTAAATCAACCAGATTTAAACACAATCCATTCATTTCAGCAGCTTTATTTTGGCAACAGACATGAAAACCTGACCCCTAAACAATGTGCAATGTACAAGCAAAGATCTGGACTGGCAGACTTACAGTGGGGGAAATAAGTATTTGAGCCCTTGCTGATTTTGCAGGTTTGCCCACTGACAAAGAATGCAACGATCTATAACTTTAATCATATGTACATTCTAACAGTGAAAGACAGAATCCCAAAGAAAATTCCAGAAAATCACATCATATGAATTTATAAAAATTGATAACCATCAG